GGGGGGCAGGACGGGAAGAGAGAGAGAGAGAGAGAGAAGAGAGAGAGAGAGAGAGAGAGAGAGAGAGAGAGAGAGAGCGTGCGTGCGTGTGTGTGTGCGTGTGTGCGTGCGTGCGTGCGTGTGTGTGTGTGTGTGTGTGTGTGTGTGTGTGTGTTGAGGAAGGACGCAAGCGACACCGCCAGGTGGCGCAGGGGCACGCAACACCTGGCGCGCATCTGGGGCCGCTGCCTCGATGGCTCGAGCACCCCCACACCTTGCCCTCCACGAGCCCCGTGAGTGGCAGGTAGTCAAACAGGTCCGTGAACTGCCGCCACACGTCAGGGTTGCCGTACTTGCGCAGGCACTCGTCATAGAACCCGTAGCTGGGGCAAGGGAGGGGAGCAGCGCGGGGGTGCAGGGCAGAGGTGAGGGGGCGCATAAGACCCTCAGGGCAGCCCCCACCATGGTGACCCAGGCTGTCGCAAGGCAGAGGGGCGTGCCAGAGGCGCTGCGGGCCCACCCCCTGGGAGCGGCTGCAGTGCGTGCGCTGCGCGCAGGTGCGTTCCGCTGACCCGCTCCCTAGGGCACAGCCTTCCACGTCCCACCACTGCCACTTGCACAAACACTCACACTTGTGTGATCTGGCGGCTCTCGTGGTTGCCCCGCAGGATGGTGATGCGGTCCCTGTAGCGGACCTGGGGGCGGCCAGGGGCCAGGACAGGTGCAGCTCGTAAATGTCAAGTCCGCAGGACACAGGCACATGGGCGGCCCAGCTTGCAATCTGGGGCTGCGCACAGCTGGTTGCGGCCCCCCTGCGACGGCTGGCAACTGCCAGCACGTCAACATCCAGCTTCAGCATCCAGCTGCTGGCCACGCCTCCCCAAAGCTTTCACCACGCTGATGAAGCCACAGCCGCAGCCGCAGTCACGCCCGCACTCAGCCCACCTTGAGGGCCACCAGCAGCGACGCCGTCTCAACAGAGTGGTATCTGGTACGTGCGGCCGCAGGAGCGGTGGGGGGGCAACAACGTAAGCACCTGCCGCATGCGCCTTTCGCGCGATGAATTGATGCGCTGCAGGCTGCACGTCCCTGGTGCAACATTCAACCATCAGCGCCGCTTTGCTGCGCCGCGCGGCCCCGCCGATGCGTAGAGAGTGGCCGCCAGCCGACACGCTGCGCGCCCCAGCTCCTCACGACGCGACGCACGACACCCCCCCCCCTCCCTCCCTCCGCGGCGGCAGGGCCAGGCTGGTCTGCTGGTGCCCACCCTCTGTCCACGTAGTCCCCCATGAAGAGGTAGTTTGTGTCGGGGCTGTTGCCGCCGATCTTGAAGAGCTCCAGCAGGTCTGAGAACTGACCGTGGATGTCGCCGCACACCGTCACGGGGCAGCGCACCGGCTGCACGTTGGCCTCCTGCGCGGCGGGTCGGCCGACGCGGGGATGGGGACCCCGCGAGGTGTCCGGCTGGCTGTGGGCGCAAGGGTAGGGCGGGGCTGCTGCGCCTCTGGCGAGGGATTCGGCACGCTGGCCGCGGCGGGCGTGGGCCGCGGAGGCGAAATGGGGGCCAGCGTCGCACCTGCATCAGGATCTCCTTGGCCTTGGCGCAGAGCGATCTGACCTGGTCCTCGCTCAGGGGGCGGCATTGCATCAGTTGCGCGATCTGCGCATCCAGGTCCTGTTGGGGCAGCGGAGGTGGGGCGAGCGCGCGTGCGAGCAAGCGCGCGCGATCAGCGGGCCGGCAGCGGCGGCCCGAGCGCGCGCGTCAGCTGCCCTAGACTCAGTGTTGCGATCATCAACTGCATTGCCATGGCTCGCCTTGTATGGGTTCTCCGCCATTGAACCTGGCTCCTTGTGAGCGCCTTCCGGTTCCCGGGGCCGTCCCTCTGCGGCCCCTCAACCGTGTATGCGCGTTTTTATGTCGACGCGAACAAGCACGTACTTTCGAACCCTAAACAGAGCTGGCCTTGCCCACAGCGGGGTGATCTGGGTAATGATGGGGGAAGCGCCGAAGATAGGACGTATCGCCAACAAAAAAGAGTCTTGATCGGATGAGGTTGAGACCTGCAACAGATGGCTCCACATTCATGTAGCGCGCCACTGTTAGTCGCGACACTGCTGCTGCATGTGTCGCGCTCCCGCAAGTAGGGAGGGCCCCCCTGCCGCAAGTACGGTACTGTAGCGCTCCACCACATGGCCATCGCTGCAATCGCGTATCATACTGCGGCCTTGTCAAAAGCTTGTCAACCGCCAATGCCCCGTCAATCGCCGCGACTAGGTCCCTGGTGAGGCTTGGACGAGAACCTCCTGCGGGCCATGTGAGAGGTTCTGAAGGCTCTTGCAGTGACCGTACGATCACGCCACAAGGTTGAGAGACTTGCATGCGTTTTCTCCTTGCCAGCTTTACAATTTCCAGCAAGAACTCTCGCCCCTGCCACGGGAGGTAAGCTATGCACATGGTGCTGACAAGACGCAGGCCGCCCTGACCACCTGACCAGCGGCACCAGGTCAGCAGCGGACGGGCGGGCTGCGGGTCGTGGTTGGACCATACAGGTAAAAGCACAGCAAAGGCTCCCGCACATGTTTCAGTGACGTTCGCCAGCCCATGTAGCCCCAGTGTCATGGACAGCAGCGGCGACACAACTCCTGTGGCCGACGCGGCAACCAGGCGCGCACGAGCACCGCCCAGGTTGCCGCCCAGGAGCACACGACCAGCCTCCTTGCCGCCTACCCTTCACTCCTGCGCCTCGGATCTCAAGCTTGCGACTGCTTCCGATGCGTGTGTGCTTCCCCTGCTGCTGCAGCTGCCGTGGGCCCCGGGGCCCCAGCCGCGGTCCACCACTCCGGCCCGCACACGTCATCAGACGTTGACAGGGGGGAGAGCATAGCGCTAGAGCCGTCAGACATGTCTCCGTCGCCACAGCCCTCGGGCCGCAGGGGCGGCCGGCAAGCGTCCGGGTGCAGGCTCAGGGCGAATGGGTGGACGTCCAGCTGGCGGGCGGCAGCCACAAGGGCGAGCAGGTGCTGCGCAGCCGGCGCCATCATGTCAGGCTGCTGCTGCTGCCGCTGCAGCGGCGGTGGCGGCGGCTGCTGCTGGTGCTCGTTTTGCTGCACCTGTTTGCTGCCCGAGGCACCATGCTGCCCCCGTCTGGCCTCCTCCTCCGCTCGCTGCGCACGCTGCTTCGGCGCTCGCCGCCGCCGCCGCATCGACGGCACCCCCGCGCTCGGCGGCGCCTGGAGCCACGGCGCCTGCAGCAGAAGAGCATCCCGCCCGTACCAGGCCCCCAGCGCCGCGCTGCTGCCCGCGAGTGTCTCCAGGCGCGACCCCAGCAGCCCGTCGTTGAGGCTTGAGCGCACCCACAGCTGCAGCCGCGCGGCATCGCCGGCGGCGCGCGCGGCCTTGGTGCGGGCGACGGCCTTGGCGCCCAGGGGCAGGCGGGACTGGCGGCGGCCGCGGGTCTCCAGGGCCAAGAGCACCTGGGGGCGGTGTGGCGGGGCGAACGCACAGGGGGGCCGGTGCGCATGCATTCACTGGCTACGCGCTTGCACCGTTTGCATGCATTGCAGATGGCATCCACAGGGAGGGGGGCTTGTACCCTGGCTTGTACCCTGGGAACCGCGGCCCATGTACCGCTGACACCTCACAAAGCACACTGTTCCCTATGCCTGCTTACGCCCCGAAGGCCCCGCCCACTCATGGCCATGCGGACCCACCACGTACGGCCGGTGCCTCAGCGGCGCGCCGAACCAGCCGTCACGCTGTCCTGGCGAGCGGCGCAGGCCATGGGCAACAACGTCGGCTATCGATCCCACCAGAGCGGCGGCAAAAGGGCTCCCATCCCCGAGAGGGCCCCTGCCGCTGACCGCCGCTGCCTCTGCGGCTGCGGCCGCGTCGATCGCAGCCGCCGCAGCCCTCGCCGCCACCTCGCAGGCGCTCTGCGCCGGGCACTGCTGCGCCTCTCCCGGAGCCGCCGCGGCGCCGGTGGCGTCTGGCCCTGAGCCCATGGTCTGCACAGGCGGCGGGGCAGGCGGCGTCCCATTGACTCCGCCAAGGCCGCCTCTGCCACCTTCAGAGGCGCCTGTGCTGGAAGGGCCCGAGCGGGACATTGCACCCAGTAGACCGGAGGGGCTCAGAAGCCATGCGCTGCCGCCGCCGCCGCTGCCGCTGCCGCGGGCGCTGGAGCCCGGGCCCGGCTCCGCCCCAGCGCCCTCGCTGGCTCGGCTGCCGAAGAACCCAAAGCCGGCCCTCACCGCCGCCAGCGGCTGCGCGAGCGCCGCCCCGATCGTATCCTCCAGCTCCTGCCGGCCCGCGGCCGCGGACGCCCTCAGGCTGCTCAGCACCGCCATTGGTGACGGCACGCCCCCAGGGCCGGCTCCCGAACGTGGGGCTGCAGAGTCCCCGGCTGCAGGCGCGTCAGCGCCGGCCGCGGAGAGCGCAGCGCTCACAAAGGCACCCGGCAGCGCGAGGACAGATGCGACCCGGGCGGCGGCCGCCGCAGCAAAGCGCGCCCCCTTGGCGCGGCGGCGCTCTCGGGGCTCTCGGACCGTCAGCTGCAGCTCTACCACCTTCCCGTCAGCTTCATCCAGGTGCCTGGTGGCTTCTGCCCCGGGACTGCTTGGCGGCCCTGCCGCAGGGCCCTGCTGCCTACCCCCCACCTCCAAAATCACCACAGACACGCCGCCGGCACGCGCCGCAGCGCGGTCCTGCGCCCGCTGCTGCCGCCCAAGCCGCTGCCCGCGCAACCCTCTGTCGCGGCTGCGGCGGCTGCCCCTGCTGCCGCCGCCGCTGCTGCCGCTTCGACGGAGGCTGCGCGGGTGGTCGCACGCGCCGCCACCGCCAGCGCCCGAACGACCCATTGGCAGGCCGCTCGCCCTGCGCCCGCGGCCGCAAGGCCCAGCATGCGGCCCTTGCTGCTCGCCGCCCTCCTGGGCGCCGGCAGTGCAGGAGGCGCCGCTCATGGGGCCCGCCGCGCCCTGGTTCGGGCTGCCTGTCCTCACGCCGAGCTGTTGGCGTGGCGACACGCAAGCCCCACCGTTTGTGTTACTGTGATGCGCCGATGCGCCGGCGGGGTACCCGCTCATCGGCTCGACGCCCTCAGCCCTGGGCACCTGCTGGTGTGGCTCTCCACCTTGCTGCTGCTGCTGCTGCTGCTGCTGCTGCTGCTGCCGCTGCCTGATGCGCTCGTATGGTGATACAACCCGACCCTGCAGTGCATTGGTGAAACACGGCAACGGTGACCACGGGCGTCATCGTCCCAGCACAGTAGCAACTGGAACTGTAGCACAGCAGTCCATCAAGCATGTGCATCCACCAGTCACAACCCCCAGGGCCGGGCTCCACAAGACCTGGCCCTGCATGCAGGGCAGCGTATGCCCACCTGCAGCTGCTCTGACAGGAGCTCCACCTCTGCCGAAATCACGGGGTCCCGCAGGGCGGCCGTTCGACCGTAGGCCGAAATCAGATGTGGCTGCTTCCTAAGAGCAGCCACGAACGGCCCCAGGGCGCCGTCGGCTGCCGCCTGGAGCGCCCACACCGCCGCCGGACCACGGGCACAAGTTGAGGGTGCGCCTGCGTTTGGCAACGCATTTGCAGCCGCCAGGGCACGCTCGAGGGTGGGGCCGAGCCCTGCAGGGCAGGCTGCGGCAGTGGCGCGAATTACCCGCCACGTGTCGCCCATCGGAACAGCGCGGTTGCCCTGTAGCCCATCCTGCAGGGTTTGGAAACAATGCGGAAGCAGCACAATCCGCCGTAGATTGCCAGGAGGCCAGCCTGGCGTGCCGACGCATCTGACAAAAGCGAAAGGTGGGGCCCACTTGGTGTGCAGCAGCTGGTATCATGGTAAGTGACCTGATGATGGACGTGGCGCACCTGCAGCACTGCAAGGATCAGTGCAGAGACCAAATCTTCGTCCAAGGCATCACATTCTTCAACAGCACGTCTCAAACGCTCCAAGGCCATCGCATCCTTTCAGGCTCGACCTCCTAGATCTGCGCTGGCATGAGGCATCGAGTACCGGGGATCAGGGTCCACGATGCATCATCAGAACGCACGGATCGTCGGATAAGCAACACTGCACGCAGTCCCTAGCTGCTATGTTGGCGTCACCAGCGACTAATGTCACTCTCATTGCAATGAACCACTGGCCGACAGTGGTTCATTGCCCTTCAACTCCGTCCCACCGCACGCTCAAGCTTTTGCTCACGCTCATCCACGCACAAACACAAAGCGCGCTCACACGCACGCACACACGCGCGCACACACACACGCGGACACGCACGCACGCACGCGCACACAAACACACACACACACACACACACACACACACACACACACACACACACACACACACACACACACACACACACACAGTAGCAGCAGCAGTGACAAGCCATGTACAAGGTCGTGATCACACGAGCCCATACACAAAGCTAGAGTTACATCGTTACGACCGAAGTCGCGATCAGGGACCAGGGTAGGAGGAAAACATGTGGGTTTTCAAGGCTCCTAGTCTGAAAAACGGCGGCGCCACCACGCACGCGCAAGGTGGTTGAGCCGGGCTTTGCCTGGAAAAAGGGTATCTCCACGCATGTCCGGTAGCCGCGCCCGCTGGGGCGGCGGCAACGTGGACGGCAGCTGGAAAATGGCGGCGTGGGGACCAAACAGCTGGAAAATGCAAGTGCTCGCCCGGGAGTGCAGATCCGCGCCATCTGCATCCGGTGTCTGATGTACGTCGAGTGCAGTCGGGCAGAGTGACCGTGATGGCGGGGATGAAGGGTACAAAAGTTTCGAAAAAAGCGCACAGCCCCAGATTCTGGCAAAGCAGATGAGGAGGGAACGCACTCAAGTGCGCGCCGGGGGCGAGACCCTGGTCGGGGGCGCGGCAGCCAGGTCACATGCTTGTCTGCGTAGGAGTGTGAGCGCACGTGCTGGCCATGTCCTGCCTGCCTGCGTGCCTGACTGCTCGTGTCCTGTTGACCCGTCCTGTCTACGATCAGGGCGCGGGCAGGTGCGCCGTGCTGCGCCGCTGCCATCACGCGTTGTATGCGCCGCAGGCGTGCGCAGCAGACCGCGCACGCCCCGGGAGCCGTCGTTTGTTTGTCATGGCCGCTAACCTTGGTGGGGCCACTGCGGCTAGCCTGTGGGGCGCCACCCGTGCGGGCGGCGCAGGGTCAGTGGGACCAGGATGCGACAGAGGTGCGCAGGCCGTCGCTGGCTGACTTGTAGGCGCCCAGCAGCAGCATGGCTGCAACCATCACGGGGGCCTGCTCGCATGCAAGCATTCAAGGAGTGGCAGTGGCTGAGGTAGAACGCGGGCGTGGCATCGGCTCAAGGGACTCGACACAGGCACAAGGACATGCATGCCGCGGCAGCTGACTCAGCGCTTGGGAGGCGCGGCGCCAGAGCTCGACCGGCCGCGAAGTTGTGCGCTGCGCCGCTGACTCGATGCGCACGACCCGCTCACCGAGGCTACAGTGACCAGCCCAAAGCTCAGGGACCACACAAAGTCCTTGTAGGTGCGGGTAGCCACCCGCATCAGCGCACGCGGCTGGCCCTGGCTGGCGCCGGCCCCCCTGCTGACGGTGCGACTGTGGGCGTCCATGACTGGCCTGTCGACGGCGGCAGCAGCGGGCAGCGAAGTGGGGATGTATGTTTCCAGATCATAAAACAGTGATGGCAACAACCCCGGCTGTGCCATCTCCAGGGCACGTGATGTTTTCGGTCGCGTGCCGCCGCCGCAGTGCAGTGCGGCGAGCTCACTAGACCACACAACCCGTGCTCATCTGGCAATGCCAAGAACGTATGGCAATCACCTGAAGGGATCGACGGGCTCTCTGTTGCACGCACGAAGCAGGCGCTCGCAGTTGTGAAGTATGGCTGGCACAGTCAGCGGGCTTGCGGTCGACAGCGCACTACAGCATATATTGAGCTAACGTTCCAGCACAATAAACTGGATCCGCCGGCTTGAACGCAGTTTTGGTCTGCCCTTGCCCGCGTGTGGATTGCCTCGTCCGCTGCTGCCCAACCTACCGGTATAGCAAGCGCCCGCAATTCGCGATCTAAGAGTCCGATTCTCGCGCGTCTGGCCATGTATGGTGCGCCGCTTGCACATTGATATCATATGCCCCTGTGGCATGTGCTGCTGCTCGCCAGTCGCCCGAGGTCAACATGCCAGCCGACGGCAGGCGGGCTGACCCCTTGTCATTGCCCCATGCAATGGTGCCGAACCTCAGACGGCAACGGGCTGCCACCACAAGCTGCTTCCAACACGAAGAGCAGCAGAACTTCAGACCTATTACCTTCCCACTGCCTGCTGAATGCAAGGCGCGCCGGCCGCCTGAAAAAACGAGGACAACAAACGCACGCGACGTGAGGAGCGAGCCAGGGGCCGGGCAGCGACAGACAGCCGCACCACCGGCTACGTTGGGTGCAAAAAGGGCTCGGTAGTTGGGCCTAGTGTAATAGTGAGGAATGATGGTGTACATTGCGCATCCGCATGCCCATCAACGCCAGGACTCGCTAGCCGCAAGGTGGGGGCTCCACAATGCGGAGAGCCGCGCCGCAGACGGGCAAAGCAGCTGTTGCACAACAGATTCAGCGACAAAAAGAACGGCATACATGTTTGGGCATTTGTGGCCCGTCCCCCAAAAAACACGAGTACCGTCAGCGGCAAAATCGGGCGGAAGGCGGCAGCACCCGGTGGCGGACGCCAGACGGAGCCGCCGCCGCCATGGGCAGGCGGCGCCCTCATCAAATGTGAACATCACGTGACACAGCAGCAAGGGCTGAAAGTATTCAGGGAAGAAGGCGGTCCATCGCGCCGGCGTAGCAACACACCTTGGCCAGTCACAGACTGCGACCGAACACGCGTGGCGCGCCTGCCTTTTTCAGTCAATCGCTTCACAAAGGCTGCATTCTGGACGGCTGCGAGTGTGAAGGGTAGGTTCGTACATTGACCAGCAACTGCTGACACTTAACGGCTGCAGGATAGCAGGCGCCGTCGACCATATCAAGCGTCCACATGCTGCGCCTGCGATCGCCAAGGCCGACCATGTCAGCACAGCTGCCCCGGACGCGAGGCCACCCTGAAGAGGCACATGAGCACGGCGCTGCGGCGCGCCAAGCACCGCCGCCTCTCCACCATCAGAAAAGGCCCAGGCCAGGGCTGTCAAGCGGAGTGCATGAGCGCGTCCACGCGTCCAGCGCTGCCCAGGGCCGCGGCGATCTTCTTGAGCAGCATCATGGCTATGGCCACGCTCAGCAGCACCGCGAGCAGTGTCAGGCCCCGATCACCAGCCGCGGCCTGCTGCTGCTGCTGCAGCGCCAGCAGCTGGGCACGAGCGGCCGCCGGTGACGCCTGCGGCGGCGCGCGGCCAAAGGATTGGCCACGAGTGGCCGGCGCGGATGCCGCCGCCGCAGCACCTTGGCCGGGGCGCCGCCGCTGCGCCGCGGTGGCGCGCTGCTGCTGGTCAGAGCCCGCGGCCTCGTCCTGCGCACTTGCGCTGTCCGCCTCGTCTGTGTACAGTGCCTTATCCTTCACAACCGCCGCCGTGGGCGCCAACGCTCCCTGGTCCATAACACCGCCTGACCGCTGCGCTGGCGCGTCGGGCACCGCGCCATCGCTTGACCCGCGGCTCCTGCCCGCCTCGCCGCTGCCGCCTGCCTCGCCGCTCCCACCCGCCTCGCCGCTGCTGCCGCTGCCGTGCGCCGCCTCGACCTCGGCCCTCATGCGGCGCAGGGCCGCCTGCGGGGCCTCCCGCTCAGACCCGCTTCTGGCGGCGGCTGCGGCGCGAGATCTGTCGTCCAGCGTCAGCATGCGGCCGTGCAGGTCGTCCACCACGCGCTGCCGCGCCGCAGAGCCCACCCTGGGCGCTTGCTGCCGCGACTTTACCGCCAGCTGCTGCCGCTCCTCCTTGGTGTAGTCCTGCATGGAGGGTGGGGAGGGTTGGAAGGGGGCGGAGCGGCCGGGACTTGGTGTTGAAAAACTCCTGGATTCAAGGGCGAGTAGAGCTTTGTACTCGTGTGCGCTGTACAACAACTCTGCGCCTAGGTGATGCGGAGAAGAATCCAGGCTGATTGCATCAGTGGGCTGCCCAGCTCCCACACAGCCGCCTCGCATGATGCGTGCGAGTCGACCGAAACGCCCATGCAGCCGTCGGCAGGTGCACAGGCACTCGCGCGTGCGGCGCCCCGCACTCCAGTTGTCTGCGACGCGCACCAGCGATCCCAGGGCGCCCGCGCCGGGCGACGGCATGAACGCGATGAGCGCGGTCAGAGCAGTCCGCACGCTCCACGAAGGCTGCCAGTGCTCCGGGTGGTGGCTCGATATGGAAAGGCAGATCTTCACGTTGGTCTGGAAGCGCCCGCTAGGCGTGAGCATCATGAAGCTCGGCGGCTTGAAGGGGTAGTCAGCCGGCAGCAAGATGCGCCCGTGGTATATGCCTCCCTGGCAATGGTTGTTGGACAGTGGACGAATGTGAAGGTGTGCAGCGTCGCGTCGTATGGGATGGTTTTGAGAGCAGCGCCAGCGCTTCAGCCAACCGTCCATCCATGTCCCCCTGCGGCGCTTCCTGGTGACCCATGCGGGACACGGCGTGCTCATCGGCGCCGCATGACTGCAGTGCAGGCATCGCAGAAGCCAGAGGTGGAGCATGACAACATTCCTGCGTCGCACGCATAGACGTTCCCTTGGGGACACCCTGCCCTGCTGCAGTGCAGCGAGGCGGCGCCTGTAACGCAGCACACCTCGAACTCAGTGTCTGGGGGACCCCTGACAACAAACGCAAACTCAAATAGGTCGTCCTGCGGGTTCGGCGAGTGGCAAGGGGCAGTAGGCTGTGGGCACTGAAGAAGCCGGGAGGTGTGATCGAGTTGGGTCCAGCATCGACCACCGGCCTGAGCGCTCCCTGGACCCCGCGCAGCTCGCCAGACTGTTGAAAGCCCACCTCCATAGCTTCTGCAATGAAGTCTGTGGAGTCCTCCTGCTGCAGCTCGCGGATTTCCTGCGTGGAACCAAGGTCGCACCCGAGACGTGGCCGTGAGCCCTCGCGGTGAGCAGGAGGCCGAGCAAGTCTATGATCGGGTACTTGCCTGCATGATTCGCCTCACTCCCGGGTTCTTCGCGTTCCAGCGGGCAGCCATCTTGCTGGAGCGTTTGAGCGCGACGATTCTAGCTCAGGCTTACTTTCACAATCATAAACAGTTTATTTTTGAATTTCCTCCTAGCCGCACGAACGCATGTGTGGTTGCTTGAGGCGGAAGGAAGGACGGGTGTTGGTGTGCCGGTGTGTGCTGTGGCGGGTGTGACTGCAGCTTGTGTGTCGCCTTGGCCTTGCGGTATTCCGCGCTTTGCTCTGCAAACATGATCCTTGACCTATTGCGTACGCTCAGTGCAGTCAGCTGGTGCTCTTGTGACACTTGTTCCAGGCAAGGTGAACAAGGTGGTTCATGACCTGCACCTCAACCGCCCAGTGATGCGTGGCCAGCACTGCACACGCTCAGCGGTTGTTGCTGCTGTCCTTCAAGGCACATTACTACACATCAGAGCAGGCCTAAAGAGTGTCAGCACATGCAAAGATAGAACCTGAGACACGTGGGACTGGGAGTCAGCAGATTCAGCTTACAGCACAAGCAGCCCACTTCAGTCGAACAGGCAGACATGATGATACGTGAAAACTTACCAATCAACGTAACACTGGTACCACGCAAGCTTTCAAGCAGCAACCCATTGAGATCAGATCTCAATCACATGCATGGGGTTGCCGACAAGCCAGCCTGCGCCCCAGTCAAACCGGGCAGAGGCACGCGGGAGCGCGACGCCGCAGCCAGCCGCCGCCGGCGCCGGCGCCGGCGCGCGCGCTGCTGCTGACGCTGTCGTCAATCTGCCTGAGCAGGCTCTGATGGCCGCCCCTGCGAGCAGCCTCACAGCAGGCCCGGGCGTCCCAGGGGCAACCCTGTTGCCGCGCCCATTGCAGCACCTCCAAGTGACCACCAAAGGCGGCCGCGACGCATGTGAATCTGTCCCAGGGGCAGCCTGCGTCCCGTGCCCAGCGCAGCACCTCCAGGTGGCCGGCCAGTGCCGCCACTGCGCACGTGCGCGTGCCCCAGGGGCACCCCGCGCTGCGCGCCCACTGCAGCGCGTCAACACAGCCGCTGCCCGCCGCCGCCTCACACGTGCGCTCGTCCCAGGGGCAGCCGGCGTTGCGGGCCCAGCGCAGCACGTCTGTGCGGCCGCCACGCGCCGCTGCTGCGCACATGCGCTTTCCCCAGGGACAGCCTTCCCCCCGCGCCCACTGAAGCACACCCAGGTGTCCGCCGGCAGCTGCGGCCTCGCACGCCCATTCATCCCAGGGGCAGCCCTCGGTCCTGGCCCACTGCAGCACACGCAGGTGACCACCGCCCGCCGCCGCAGCGCAAGTCCACTCGTTCCACCGGCACCCGGCACCCCGCGCCCACTTCAGAACACTCAGGTGTCCGCCAGCTGCGGCACGCTCACACGTCACCGCGTCCCATGGGCAGCCGGCCGCCCGCAACCACTGCAGCAGCCCCAGGTGTCCCCCGCCGGCCGCCGCCGCGCACGTCGCTTCGTCCCAGGGGCAGCCTGCGGCGCGGAGCCGCTGCAGCGCGCGGACGCTGCCGCCCGCCGCCGCCGCCTCGCACAGACGCCGCTCCCAGCGCTCCCCGCCCGCTGCGCGCGCCCACGGCTGTAGCCAGGTGTCGCCATGCGCCGCGGCGCGGCTGGCGGCTGCCAGGCGCTGCCGGTCTGTCAGCCGCGGCCAGGCCTCGCGCACAAACCAGGGCGGCAGCGAGAATGCAGAGGGCTTTCGCCCCTCGGAGCGCCACACAGACCCACCAACTGCGCAGCCAGGTGCACTTGACAAACGCGGCTGCCCACTGGGCCCTGAGGCGTTCCGCACCACGTCGCACGCCTGCATTAGGGCTGCCCGCCGCGGCGCTGCCCAGACCCGCCAAGTGCGGCTGAGGGCGCCAATGGTGACGGCCTGCTCGCCGGGCGGCAGCCTCTCAAAGACTGCGGCCAGCACGTCGTCTGGGCAGGTGATGGGGATTTCAAAGGGGCTGGCGGTTGGCAGCCGGAAGCGCCGCCGCATGTGCATGGACCGAAGCATGCGGGATGCTGTGGCACGCGCCGCGGGAACTGCTTGCCGCTGCAGCGGCCGCAGCCTCTGCTGCTGCTGCGCGCTGTCTGCGTACTGCGAGCGGGGTTCTTGCCGGCCTGTGTTCATCACAGTGCAGGTTGGAGTGGGGTGAATAGGCCAAATCTTGGGCCACAGGGATGCCAAAAGATGTATGCTTGCCAAGTTCATGGCACTAGATGGCCCGCCCAATGGTGGTGACATGGCGGTGCCCCAGGCCCAGCATGGGGTGAAGCCACGACCCATGTGCTGCTCAATGCGCCTCAAGCAGGTGACCACTCCGAACCCTGGTCCTGCCCACGACCAGACCTGCCTGTACGGCGTGAATTCCTTCGAAGTTCTTTCAATGACCGATGTCACCGAGTCACTACAAGCACGCAGATCGACCAACGTGCGAACACACTCAGATTTTAGATGAGAGGCTTATTCTGAGCGTTGATAAGCACTTGATAACAGTAAAATACACTCGATTTGGTTGTGCGGTCTGAGACCAGCGAGTATTGCAGCTCACCACAGTACACCCTTGCTTGGTCAAATGTGTGAGATTGACCGCCAGCACGTATGACACATTCAATGTTGCCTTCTGCATTAGCTGACCGGGCGAGCCAGTCAAACCCCGCCTCTCGTTGCCTGCGTGTTCAACACTCCCTGCAAACTTCCCCCAAACACCCCCAATTCTCCTCCATCGCGTGCAGTACCACACTGCAGTTGCATCAGCGCTCATGCTCTCATAACCTCAATGGAACACTTCGTGTTGCATGAGCAAGATGTGCACACTCGCACACACATATACACTCAAACAGCCTGCACGCGGCTGTAAGTTGATTGATGAATATACCACTGATTGGCAAGCTGTACACAACAGTGATGACACAACCCAAAAGTTGGTGATAACGGCCCCCCTGCGAGAGTATCCACCGCCGTATCTTGGGACAGGCTGCGATGGGCCCGCCCTGCCGCACCGTCATGCAGACCTCTTCGTGCCACTGCCGCCGCCCTTGCGCCTTGCTGCCCCCTTCTTCCGGTGGTGGTGGCCCCGACTCAACTGCCCCGCACCCTGTAGTGGCGCGAGGCCCGCTCCGGGCCGCGGCAAGGCGGCGACGCACTGCATTGAGGGAGCATTCAGGCAGCCAGACGATAGGCGAGGGCTCCTGGCCAGGTGCACAGCATGCACCAAGAGTACACAAAATATTGCGACCGGTTCAGCACGCACTGACACAGGCACCCGCCGGCGCGCTTCCTACTCCCATCGCCTGCTGATGTGAACAGGCAACATATGCGTCCCCACATGCAACCCTGGGGAACCCACCGAGAGGTGCGGCTGATCCGGCAGCGGCAGCAGCGCGCGCGCCAGCGCCTCCACCCCCGCCGCCCCCGCCCCCAGCCCGAGCGCCGCCGCCGCCGCCGCGACCTCCGCCTCCGCCTCGGCAGCCGCACGCCGCCGCAGCGACCGCAGCGCACCGTCGGCCACGAGGAGGCGCTCCGCGGCGCCAAGGACGCGCGCGTCTGTGTACGCAGACGTGCTCGGCGGCTGGTGCTGCGAATCGACGCGCGTCAGCACCCTGCCCCCGCGGCCGCCTGCGGTGCCGCCGTCCCCGCCCTCCGTCTCGGGTTGGGGCGGCTTGAGCTGGGAAGCGCCCGTTAGGCCGGGGCCGTTGGTGCCGTCGGCGCCGCCGAGGCAGGCACGCCGTGCCTCCTGGCGGCGCATGATCTCCTCCTCCACCCGGGCCCTCGCGCGTGCGTAGTCGGCCATGCGGCGCGAGACGTCCGCCTCAAAGCCGCGCTGCGCCGCAAACGCCGCGCACATAAACTCGCGCCTGCGCGTGTCGTCGCCGCCCCGTCCCTGCACAGCCGCGCCGGCGGCGGAGCCGGGCGGCGGTGACGGTGGTCGCGCCCACGTGGCGAGCGCGGCGTCTGAGGCGTGATCGCCGCCCCTGGCGCCGGTCAGCAGCGCAATGCTCTCCATCAGCCCGGGCTCCGACGCCAGGAGGGGCGCCACCACCACCTTGCCACCATCACCACCGCCGCCGCCCCTGCCGCTGCCGGCGCCATAGAGCCGCCGCCCCTCGCGCTGGATTGCTGGCTGCCGGCCGATTGAGGGCTGGGGGACATGCAGGGGCGCCCGCCCCGCTGCCATGTATGCCTCGGCCGCCTCCTTGTGGCCGGCCTTCTCAGCGGCGCCGCCATCGTCCGCGCCTTCGTCATCGGTCCACTCGTCCTCGTCAGCATCGCTGCTGGCATCGCCGCTGGCGCTCCTCCTGCCATTGCTGCTGCGGCCGACTGCTGCAGCCCTGCGCTGCTGTGCTGCCGCTGTGTCAGTGCCACCGGCCGCCCGGCCATCACGTGCCCGCCTTGTCGGTGGCGTGGTGCCTGGCGCTCCTCGAATCTGTAGCCTCGGCGGTGGCTTGCCCCATCCCTTTGCGGCCGCGCTGCCGCCGCTGCCGCTGCTTTGGCCCCCAGCCCTCCGCCCCTCGCGCCCCTGCTGTCCACACGCGGCCGACACCGACAGCGAAGCGGCCATTGCGGCTGCCGCGTCCATGTCGGGGGGGAGCTCCCGTGGCCGCCGCGCGGTGAACCAGCGGTGCGCGGCTGCCAGCCGCGCGCGGCGCGACCCCGGGTCGGCCTCCGCAACGCACTGCCCGAGGACGCCGCGCAGCGCCGCATAGAACGCCCGCTGGCGCGGCGCAATCGCCGCCGCGGCCGGCGCGCCGCCGTTGTCCCGGCCCGGCGAGGCCGCGCTGCGGCCCTGCTCTGCGGCGACGGTCGCCGCTGCAGCGGACGCTGCGGCGGCCTCAAAGTCCGCGAGCGCCTGGCGCATTTCCCTGTAGCGGGCATTGTCGGCTGCGTCCTGCTGGTCTGCTGCCATGGCCTGGGGGACTCAGTAGCAGAATCTGTACAATCGGCTTCCGGTCATGGGTAAGGAGGCGACACCGGGCAGTGGAAGCGCTCAGCGGCATCCGCCGTACAGCAGAGCACTGTAGCAGCACATGCAGCAAGCAAAGCACAGCTGCAGCGCTTGCGGGGGCATCGACATCTCTGGACACGCCTTGCCACCATATCACATGCGCCTGATTTTCACACCTGCACAGTCATGTATAATCACAGTTCGTACTGTACACTCGCTCGCTGTTTTGAATTACATGTGCCGGCAAGCGCTATGCGAGATTGCACTGTACACCTAAATCACACAATTGTGCTTTATGATTGATCCGTATCATACGGTCAGGCTTCCAGGAGGGTCTGCGAGATGTCAAAGCAGAGTCAATGAGTCAAACTGTGCCGGAGGCCCTGGGCGCCTACCGCACCGTGCGGGCTGCAGTACCCCCTGCCCAAACTCTGAACCACTCATGCCTTGCAGTGGTTGAGTTTTGAAATTCCCTGTGGTAATTCACCTTTGCCACACTTGACGTTGTGGAGCAGCTGGCATCCATACCATGCTCAAGCCGCCGCGAAAGCCCCGCCGCCAACTCTGGGGCCCCCCTCGCCGATTCAGAGCCATACGCGTCAGCAGAGTATTTACAGGTATCAAAACTCTTTGAAACGTCTTGATGGTGCCCACAGGCAAGCCACCAAGGCAAGACGGCCGCAATTAGAAGGAGAACCCCTCCCACAACGGTGCTCCCATCCCACAACACACGGGCATCATCACAACATGAGGTTCAATGCACAGGCGCAAAGTTGTCAGATCGCCAGGCAAATGACCTGGGGAAAATGTTGATAAGCACTATGGAATCTGATCTGGTCCGTCCTGCACGACCCAGGGTGGATGCTAAGAAAACATCCCTATGCACAGCATGGTGGATGAGGTGTGGGCGTGATGGAGGGTTCGAAGAACTGCTTCTGCTGGGTGTTCAATATACAAAGCTCTGGTTTTATACAGGGGTGGCCTGTTTCTGGCGTCAATCTGACGCGTGCACATGGCGCAGCGCGCCGCTCGCTGGAGGCTTGCGCAAACCACCCCTCACACGCAACCCCGGACACACACAAACACAAGCAACAACAGAGTGTGCCGCCTCCGTGAGAGTGCGCGCGCGAGGCGGCAAACGGGATGCCGCTATCAGCCACCGGGAGCCGCACAGGCAGCAGCAGCTTGCAATGAGACACGCCCTTTTTGCACGAATCAACGCGCCGCGGGCACCCAAGTTGCCTGGGGCGGGTTCAGCGCTTATGCAACGGCGCCTGTCGTTCGTGGGACGCTTCGCCCATTCAGTGGCGCATCTGGACTCGATTCGTCGCGCCTTCGTTGTCCGCCACAGCCACAGCAGTAGTAAGCCGTCTGGCGACATGCAGTGGTGACGCCCCCTCGTCTTGGCCGCTCGTCCAGGGCAACAGTGCCGCCGCCGCCGCCGCACGTCTGAGTGCTGCGCCCACATTTGCAATCCTGACGGCGACGGCGCCGTGGATGCGGTGTGCGTCGCGCCGTGGCGGCTGGTGCTCTCCCTCCAAACCAGGTTCCTGTCCCCCTCAGTTTGCGAGTGCGCCGGCGGGGCCGGTGCTGAGCTCAGACATGGAGGATGACAGCGACTCCACACCCAGCACCGCGCCGCCGCCGCCGCCGCTCTTGCCCATGGAGATGGCCGCAATGGCGGCCGCCACCTGGGCATCCTCCGCCTGAGGGCGTGGGGTGGCGTGGTTGTGGTTGTGGTTGTGGTGATGAGGGTTTGGCAACGAGGGTTTGCAGGGCAGAGAAGCTTGGGGGACATGACATGTACCATTGCAATGCGTCACGCACAACAAGAGTTCAGGGGTTTGTGATGAAAGGGGGCGGCAGCCCATTGAACCATGCGTGCCAAGCGCTGCATGCCGGCACCCGCCGCCTGTGGGTGCGTGGCTCCCCCTCGACCTCGCTCCTAGCCTAAACTAGCAAACTTCCCCCATTTCCCCGTTTAAAACGCGCACATCAGCCGCATGAGCCCCCAGACGGGCTGCTCCCCTGCGCGCGACCCACCATCATGCGCGCCCTGTACTTTGCCAGGTCGAAAAGCGACCCCTTCAGGCAGCCCCCCATGCACTCCTCAATGTGCTCGAGCCGGAACCGCGCCTCCAGCCCGCCGACCGCCGCCCCGTCGCCGCCGCCGTCGACGATCACGTCGGCGTCGGCCGCGTCAGAGGCGGGCGTGGCGGCGGCCTTTGAGGGGTTGGGGCCGGCCTTGGCCTTCTCCACAAAGGCGACCTTCTTCTTGGTGACGGGGTCGATGAACGGGGACACAGCCTGGCGGGTGTTGGTGGACGAAGGCGTGGGAGCAGGCGGGCGTTTTGAGGGCAGCGGAGGACGGGAGGAGGGCGTTGCGTGTTGCGCTCTGAGGTGAGATTGCAGGTCAATCCTGCGGCATTTGGAGGATGGCAGAGGTCCGGGTGGCTGCCGGCTGCGGGTGGAAAGCAGCACGTCGCGGCTTCCGCAGAGAGCAAAGAAAGGGAGCAGCCCTGCCTGGCACAGCGAGGGAGGGCGGGGCACTCCGACCCCCAGCGGCCCCGCTCACCCTCCAGGTCAGGGAGAAGAGGCTGGGGGCGCAGTAGCACACGGCGCAGCCCAGGCGCTCAGGGTAGTGGTTCTGCTCGGCAGAGGGTCGGGCGCGGCGTGCACGCAGCGGCCGCGGTGAGCGAATTGTCCTTTGGCCTCCACGAGGGCGCAGCAGGTCGCAGGCACGCCGCTTGGGACCGCCGCACGGGCCCCGCCTCGCCTGCAGCTTTGCCCTGATCTGCTTCCTGCCTCCTCGCAAGCGCATGCTGCCACGTGGCGCCGCGGCCTGGCCCCCACCCCCAGCATGCAGCCCCGCCCGACTCCGTGGCCGCGGCGTCCCAATCCAGGGGTGTGGCCCCCACTGGCTCCTCTGCCCGGCTGGGGCTCACCTGCAGCACGTGCAGCACCTCCACGCTGGTGCGCACGCTGGGGGCGTTCCTCATGGAGTAGCCCACAAAGTCAATCAGCCACGTCATCTTGCCCACGCCTGGGGGCGCGGGGATGCGTGGAGGCAGGGGTCCGGGGTCAGGAGGGGGCGCATTTGCTATGAAGCACACACTTCGCGGGCTGCGTCCCTGCAGGACTCGTCTTCACGGGGCTGTCAGACACACAAAGCAAAGATGCCATCGAATTGCGGCTCGGCCGTGAGCGCGTCGATCCGCGCCAAAGCTGCGATGAAGAGACAGGAGAGGCCCGTGGTAACGGTCCGCAGCGCCCGTGTGTGTGGGGGGAGGGAAGGCGGGCTCGGGCGCGCGGGGGCACTCACGCTGCGCGTCTGCGAGCCGCGAGGCGTGCTCCAGGCAGTAGGTCAGAAACTGCACCTGGGCCTTCTCGTCCCCGGTGTTCTGGTTCCTGAGGAAACGTGCATGGTGGGTGCATGGCGGGTGCGTGGCAGGTGGAGTTGGGCCCTGGATTGGAAATGGAGGTGGGGCCAACGGCCGCCAGCAGCGCACAAGGCGTGTCCCGCAGCAGTGCAGCGGCAGGGTGCACCCATCGCAGCCGCTCAAACCACCGGGCTGCCCTGACGGCCAGTCACGCAGGCCGCCGCGCCCGCCCTCTCCCAGCCACCCTCTACGGAGCACCCGTCAAGCCACGACCGCCCTATTCACATGCAATCATCCTCCACAGCCCTCTGGCCACCCCTATCCTCCCCCCAGCTCTCCATGCACCCCCACACACTGACCTGGGTCTCATGGTGACGACGGGGCGGCCGTCCCTGTCAGGGTGCGGCGACACAAAGTTCTTGCCCGACCCCGCCTCCACCTCGACCTGGGCCCACGTGATAGCGTGGGGCTGCGTCTCGAGGCGCCTGGAGGGGTGAAATGAGGGGGTAATCGAGGGCTCTTTGTATGGCAAGGGTTGCCGGACTGCCAAAAGAGCGCCGACGCCGTAAACCCTGGTTGTCGCGGCACGCCCCTCTTCATCCGGGCGCATCATTTCCACCGCCCGCGCGCCGCGCCGCCCACCGGCCCTCACCACTGAAGCGTTGCCTGCAGCATCTTGGTGGCCTTGGGCAGGCTCCACTGCCTGCGGCCGCGTCGCGAGGGCAGGTCATTGCAGGGCGGGTGGGCGCCGTGCCAGGGCGTGTGGCTGACGCCGCCCTCCTGATCAGTTGCGTCGCGGCTGCTGTTTATGCTGCCGCCGCGGTGCGGCCACTACTCTGCAGCAGCCACTCGCAGGGGCGCAATAACAGGGTTGCCCTGCCCCTGCGGAGGTCCATCGGGGACCACGCGGTCGCCCAAAAGCAGGCACTTGGTGCTCGCGTGAGAAAAACCCCGGCTCGCCTGGCTCGGAGGTACCGAACGTAGCACCAATCATTGCAAAAGAGCTGGAGCTCGGGATGCTTCTGCGGAGGCAGCACGGGACGAGCCAGGGCAGCGTGGGCGGCTGCCGACGACAACAACTGCAAGACGCTTACCCAAGGATGACAACGAAAGCAGTGCTTGCGCGCGCGCCGCTTGACGCCGCTGTTTTGCCTTTGCGGCGACGCTGGTGGGCGTCGCGTCGGCTCCCATTTTGTAGCAGCATTCGCGCATTGTGTTTGCCGTGCTGGCCGCCCGTCCCGAGTGCTTGGACAAGCTTGACAAACTTTGGATCCACCGCGTCACTCACCTCCACCGTAGACGCCATAGCCTCCTTCAGCTGAAGCACAAGGTCTACTTCAGCGGGTGTGAGGGGCTCGAACAAGTCCAGGGATGCCGCCATTGCTGCTCACTACTTTCACTTGGACGGCAGCACGCAGCTCTACGTTGACACGCTAGATTTTTGGACACACTAAAACTTTCTTTGTAACAGGTAAGAATGCCTGCGGCCAGAGTGTTGTGGATACCGCGTGCTGCTCACGCAACTGCTGCACCCCCCTGCCCGAGGCGAGGGGGGCGAGCGTTCAAGAGTGTGCACCAGCGGCGGGGCGCGCGGGTTGTGCATGGTTATGTTCACACTCAACTGTGTTATGGGGGGGCGGGTGCTTGGTGCCTGTCAAGCCCTTGCAAACAGCCTGCCTTGCGATGACAGACCCCTCGTTGCACACTCACGCCCCCCACGCGCGGGCCTGTGGTGTGTGTGTGTGTGTGTGTGTGTGTGTGCGCGTGTGCGTGTGCGTGTGTGTGCGCGCGCGTGGGTGAGAGAGTGTGTCCGCACACACGAGTGCTTGTTTGGCGGATCCGGATGCTGGACATTCGTCAAGACTCGCAACCAGGTTGCCCACCTGCCGCCGCGCCGCACCCGCTGCCTCCTCGCCAGCCTTCTTTGCGGCGACCGCCCCGGCGTCGGCGTCGCACACCTGGGTCGGAGTAGGCGTGTCACGCACGGGGCCGGGGGGAGGGGGGGGGGATGGGAGACACGGGGCGCGCAGGGGCCAAGGCAAAGAGGGCCACAGCGGTTGGAGGGATGGGGCCCCCGCAGGGGGCGCAGCAAGGCCGGCGCTGCGCAGAGGAAGCGCGTGTGGCCGATCAAGCAGTACGCGAAAATGACGATACAAGCCGCCCTGGCCCAGGGCTCGGGGCACCACTATGGCACGTGGAGCGCGCCCACAGCGCGCTGCCGCTACTGCAGCAGCTCCCGCTCCTGTTGCTGGCTGTAGTCGTTGCGGGAGGGCCCCAGCTCCCATTCGTTGCCATTTGGCTTGCTTCAGGCGCAGCTCGCCGGCATCCTGCGCGAGCCAACGCCTCTTGACTTGCAGGCTCCGTCTCCGACCGCAGTTGGCCACTCACCGTCGCGCCGGGCCCCTCCACCGCCCCTCCTCAACGCCCTCGCCCACCTCATGTTTTCCCTTGGCCCATTCTCCTCCATCTGCACCCGCGGAAGCTTGACCTTGGCGTCTGCAGCACCGCGCTTGATTCTCTGGCCCATCCCAATTCACATGTTGCTCCTGCGGGCCTGGAGTGGTAAATGGCGCCCGGCCCCTTGTTGGTCATTGGACTGGTGCGCCAGTCTGCCGCGCTTCGACGAGCAGCTGCTCCAGGTCGTGGCAGCCACTAGGCTCTGCGTTGCTGGTGGCAGCGGAGCGAGGCAAAGTGCATGCCCGCCGTCTGCCCACACCTCCCACAGCTCGCTGATGGGCGCCATCCAGCGCGGCAAGGAGCCCCCAGGCAACGTCTAGGGCATCTGCCCCATCGCCTGCCTGGTCTGCCCCAGGACCCTCGAGCTGCGGCCGGTGCTCTGGGACGGGCTGTGGTCTTCCCGGAGCGTGCTTCTGGGCTACTTTGGCTTTGCCACCTGGCGGAACAGCTGCCCGCCCCGGGGTGTCATCAGGGTCAGCGCGGAAAACACGGCGCCTGCGGCAGCCCCCTCAGAGTCATAGGTGGATGGCTGCGGTGCTCTATGAAATGCCAAGCCACAGGTGTAGAGCAAACTGACAAGAGCAGCAACGCCCCCATCATCATCAACACCATGCTCTGCACTGAGAGGCGCCTGAGCCCGCTTGGCTTCCCCAGCCCCCTGTGCGCAAATCAGGTCAATTCATGCATGCACATTGTCATTACAGCTGTGGCTTGTCGCAACAAAACACAACTATACACAACTTGAACCAGATCGCTTGACTCGCACTGGAGCACCCCAACAATCGGCCCCTTGGATCGATACACGCAATTCTCTAAAAATTTCGAACGGGCTTCAAGGTTGTGTCCATACGCAGTCGCTGGCAGCAGGAGGGGGAGGCGCCCTGTTCAAATTGGAACCACCCGGCCATGAAGCCACAGAGAGTCAGAAGACATTCTTGAGAAGGCGAACGACGCCCGTACTACAGTTGCAGGCCTGCCGACCGCGCCCCCACGCTGCAGCGAGCGGTCCGGCAAAGCGGCAACAGACAGCACTCGCAACTGCACAGGCCGCGAACTACATTGCAGCTGAGAGGGCGCATGCGCCAGCACCATGCGTGAGCGCGACTTCGTCCCCATCTCGCATACGTTTCCTGCGCAAAAGCCGTTCATGGAGGAGAACGGGAAACGCAGGGCTGCAAGGCCGCCGGACGACCTGCGGGTGCGTACCTGGGCGGCCGCCGTCTGCCCGTGCGTATGTCAGGGAGCAATGTGGCAGCAGTTGAAGCTGGCTAGATGAGCAGTGTTGGGCGACGCTTGCAGTGAAAAGGGGCATGCACGTCGCCGAGCCATGGAGGAAGCCCCTGAGTCGCCTCACATCGCCCATGCAGGTGCACACACTCAAATCACAACAGCAGCAGCAGCCCGCGAAGCGAGCGTGCGGCGAAGGCACGGGCGTGGGAGTGCAAGGCTCCAAAGCAGCGGCCGCCGCCTCTGGCGATAGCCAGCTGGGCGGCGTGTTCCAGCAGCAGTCGAAGGATGGCATGGAGTGAGTTGCCAATCGCCAACATTGCATTGGCCCGCGCTCCGGGCTGCCCTGGTCTTGCAGGACCTCCTGCTGCGTGCCCTACTGCTGCGTGCCCTACTGTGCAACAAGCTTCTACTTGGGCTCAGTTCGCTGCCATCCCATCCCTCGTGCACCCGCCACACTGCAGGGTGCAGGCAGCGGCAGGCAGGCCGCTGACGGCGGCGCTGCAGGCGACCGACTTCAGCGCCTTCAACGCCATGGTCCGCAGCCAGCGCCAGCAGCACCAGGGGCAGCAGCAGCAGGGGCAGCAGCAGCAGGGGCAGAAGCAGCAGGAGCAACAGCGGCCGCCGCCTGGCGGGTCACAACGGCCGCCGCGGCAGCAGGTGCAGGTGACGACGTTTGACGTCATCACCAGCAACCGCGTGAATGGGGAGGAGCTGGACCCTGCGCTGCAGCTCGAGGGGGTGAGCGCGCTGCTGGGGCTCCCTTGGGTGGCAATATAGCCGCTCAATTGCTTCATGATCATGCCTTGGGTCGGCGCGCGCCATTGTGCTTTATCTTGGG